GGGCTCGGCGCGCTCCGCTTCGCGCGGCTCGGGGTCAGGCGACGCGGAGCATGCCGGCGCTCAGGCTCTAGGGAGCGCGGCGCCGGTCCCGGACCTGCGCCGGGCAGCAGTCGGGCAGCCGGGCAGCTTCGTCCGGGAGCGCAGGGGCTGCATGAGGGTCTCTAGGGCGCCAGCCAAGGACGAAGGGCGGCCGGGCCCCGCCGCCCCTGGGCGCCGCACCCGGTACCTGTGCCCCTAAGTGGCCTCGCGCGGGAGCCGAGAGCAGGGCAGACAAGTTTGCAGCGCGGCTTCCTCCTCGGCCGCAGGCGAGGCGCCTCTGCGACGCCGCCTCTCCCCGGCGAGTCGCACTGCTGCTCCGGGTCGGTCCGCCCAGGCGCAGGCACGCAGACACACTCGCACACACACAGGCTGGCACCGTCACAACCCGCCAGCCAGTGTGACGGGAGCCCTGCTACCCGCAGCAAAAACCTGCCCTAGGTACCGAGCATGCGCCAAAGCCTTCCCCAACCCCGGAGGAGTTTCCAGGGGAGGAGTCCGCTGCACCGTGGGGTTCGGAGGAGGCAGCTGGGGGTGGGAATCCCTTCAGCCCGAAGCCAGGAGACATGTGGCAAGAAAGCTAAGGGGGCGCAAGAAGCCCCGAGGAGGAAGTCGCTGGTGCTGATCTGATGCCTCTAAATCAGCAGCTTTCTTGTCTGGACAGTGACCCTGACCGGTAATACCCCCACACCGCTGAAAGACAGGGTGGATTAGACCAGCCTTCACACAGGTTGGCCTGTCCCACGAGAGCAGGGGAAATGGGCTCCAGACTGCGTTTCATTTCTACTCAAGACATTCTAACTGATGCTCAAGTCTTGTTCTGGTCCTTCCTTAACTACGAACTTAGTGCGCCCAACTCTCCAACTTTATTGAATCAGCACAATGAAGCGCCTACTGTGTATCGGGCTGTGTTCAAATACAGTTCTTTCTTTCAGCCCCAAGACAGCCCAGCCCACAACCAGGCAGGACATAGGGATCACCTCCTAAAAGTCATTGTCAGTGTCCCTCCTTTGCACCAATGTGAAAGATGAGACCGACCCTTACCTATGTTTTTTAAGCCCTTCTATTTTTCAAAACGATTATTCCAGCAGTCAGCTTTTGTAATTATCCCAGAATCAAATCTTTGCTTTAAAACAACTTCTGTTTTTCAGGTAATGAATGAACGTGCCAGGGAATTGGAGTAACTGCCCCAACACGATTCCCTTCTACTTGACCTGTCTTTCCAAATGGACAATAGACAGGCGTTGAAGGTGTGATCAAAGCAAGGTGAATCCCTGGCCTAGGCCAATGTGTATCTTCCGGCTACTGTGCCAGCCAGTGCCTACCATATTTTCATTGACGCTTACCTTCGCGCTTGACCTCTTTGGGGGTCACACTCGTTTCTTCCTGAATCTGCTAATCTCTTTCTCCATGTGTCCTGCTCATCGGTTAAAATCTGATCTCTTTCAGAGATGTGTGAGCTTGCCCATAGGAATTCATTTTTATTGTTCCAAACAGGTGGGATTCTTCTCAACAAAGATTCTTCAGATTCTTCCCTCCTCTGCTGCCTTTCCTGTTTGCAGCTCTATAAACAACCACACACTGTGCTCTTGCTGACACTGTAGGAGCCTATATTTGTAAGGAAAGTGTTGGTATAATGAATCAGCTTCTCTAAAGTTTTCCTGACTCCATTTCCGCTCACTTAGGTTTGGATTTCTATTAATGGTATCACTGTACACTTTAAGCAAGAAATAGTGACAGAGAAAGAACCCAGTGAAGCCCAATAATTATTTCCTGAGTACATGTGGTTCATGGGTTACTTATTTATGGTTTAAAAAAAAAACAACTTTGTTTTGTTCAAATAAGAAAGTTGTTATACCTTTTTATATTATTTTATTTGAGAAGTTTCTTATCTATTAAGTTGCTTGATATCAGATAGACAAATGGAACCTTCTTAGCTACTCAAATGGATTAACCCAATGCTAATGGTAATTTACATAATGATAAGCACTTTTCTAGCCTGAACTCATTTGCTTCTCAGTCCAATATGCTAAAGAGATACAGGAAGTATAACAACCCACTTTAGAGATGACAAAACTGAGCCGAGGAAAGGTAAGTGAAAGTAGTCAAAATTAGAAATTACTCACCTCCCTGAAATGCATTCAGATCACCACTGAAGAAATCCAATGAACATCAACAACAAATCTCATAATTTCCTCTCTCTGCTCTTGAGAAAACTTCGTTGTTTTTCCTCTGTCTCTGGCTTTATAGTCAAAACTGAGCAGTTCTATGTCCTGCAGTCCTTTGGTACCTGCTCTGTGACTTTCCAGATAAAAAGGGGAAAGACAGTAACAATTATAAAGTGATTATATGATTATTGAAAGAAGTCATTTTGGAAAAATTCAAAAGAAAACATTGTACCAAACATACAACAGCAGCGTTGCTAATAGAATGAATGTGTCCATAAGTAAGTGCACCCTTAGCACTTTTCAAAGAACATTATCCCAAAAGAGCTGTTTCTACTGTCAGGAAAATAGCTAATGGATTGCCACCATTTCTTCAAAATAATTGCAAGGAAAACAATGCACTGAATCAAGGCAATTACATAGATAATTCAGACATGTACCTGGGTATTCATTTTTCACGATAGGTAACTTTGGTTGGGCAAACACTGTCCCAGGTGTGTGTGGTCTCCTTATTACAATTGTGGAACTTGGTGTGAACCTAATCAAAGCTTTTAAATCACAAAATAAACAGGCTTCCTTATCTACAAGGGCAGACCTCACATTCAAGAGAAAATGAATAGAAACTTTCTAAAATTGAATGCTCTCCAGGTAAAAAGGAAAAACATGTTTGCATTCAGCCTACTATAGTTACTCCAGGATGACACCAGCTGGCAATTGTTTCTGGCTAACAGATTGCAGCTACTATGATTCCGACACAAATTATTAAAATAATAAAAATAATGTTTCAAATAGCTTCCCTCTACTTCCTTTGCCAGTCTAGCAATGAGCTTAACACTATTTGGGAGGCAATTTGTTCACCTAATTGTATGCCTTAATAAGCTTTACTACAATTATTTTTATGCCTAATTCTTTCCCTACCTTAACTTTAGTATTTTCTCTCTGTTCTTTTCAGATATTCTCAAACCTGTTAGCAACATTGCACTCCCCCAGGATTTAAACTTTTGATTAGAACAATCCCCATTTAATCAAGTTCAACTGGGAGATAAAATTACATCGCAACTTCTTTGTTTTCCCTTTGGTGCCAGAAACTGCCTTTGAGAATGGTGAGGAAACCCTGGAGAGATTAACAGTACAAACAATCACAGAGAATAGTTTCTGATCCACTACATTTGCACACAGGAACATATAGATATGAATACCCCTCAATGCAGATGTAAAACCAAACAGATTATGCCAACCACTGCCCATGTGAATCTCTCAAGAATAGATAGTGCTCTTACACACTGAAATGACTTCTTTCTCATTTTTGTAAACATTCACCTGAACTCCCAAATAACCCTACGGTAAGCAGTTTACAAGTAAGACCAAAATGGTAGCTTTTTATTCTTAGAATTAAACAGCAGAATTGGTACAGTCCAGGAAAACTGTGGAAAGAATTGTGATACTTAGTGTATTCTAGTTCACTGCATGATTGTAACTTTAAAGTAACCATGACCTCACTTATTGCTTCCCATAAAGTTCTATTCCAATGAACAATTCAGGTTTTATTTTAATATATAATATTCTTTCCTTACCATTAATATAAGCTTATAGTGAAGAATCAAAGTGATGCTACCTGTGTGTAATGTATTCATTAAGCCAGTAGAGTGTAAGTAAATGCATTAATCTTTTCATAGTAGATATGTATATATTTCAATAAGAATTTCTTGAGAATTTACTATATACTGAGCACTCTTCTGAATGGTTATATACATCATTAAACAAAACCAGTAAGGAACCTGCTCTCATGTACCTTATTTTCCAAAGGTGGAAATATAATTGATAAAGAAATACATAACATAGATTCATTTCATCCAAAGTTAAATGAGATGCTAGTATGTCCTAGTTACTTTTAGGTACATATGTTATATTAGTGAACAATAAAGATAATAATTGTGACCTCAAGAGTTCAATGCTAGCAATATAAGCAGTACAAAAAAAGCTAGAGAAAAAAGCTAGAGAAATGTCAGGGCTTATGGGGCACTGTAAGAATTTTACTCTTAGAAGAGCAGGAAGCCACTGGAAGGTGTGAAAAGTTTAAGGTCCTTTTGGCTGTTTTCTTGAGAGCAGACTTTAAGAAGGCAAATGTAGAAGTAGGAAAACCAATTAAGTGACTATTCCAGTAAACAGGTGAGAGATTTGATGGCTCGGACCATGACAAGAGGGTAGCAGATCGGGCAGGTGGAGAAGTCAGATAAACTGTAGTTTCAGGAAATAACCATGGTGTTCCCTGATGAACCAAATGTTGGTGATAAAAAAAAAAAAGAGAAGGCTGAAGGATGATGCTAAGATGTGGGGCCTATCCAACTGGAAGGTTAGAGATGCATCCAGCTGAACATCAACTGAGATCATTTCAAGAGTAGAGGAGAAGTGAATGAGCTGATCAACAGATTAAATGCAAAAGGCGGAGGGAAAGAGGCAGTGCTTTTCGCTGGACTGTCAGAAATGACTATATTTACATGAAGGTAAAGGGGCTGAGTCCAGAAGAAATACTGTACAATGAACTAGTCATTCCAGACGTCTTGGAAAAGAGGTTTCTAAATAAAGCAAAGAGTACAAAGGTGTGGAGCTAGAAAGGCTTGCAGGGCTCAAGGTAGAGACAGACCACTAGAGAAGGAGGTGTGGGCCTTTCCTTCAGAGCCATGATGGGGGGTGTTCTTCACTAGAACTGCCGTTAGGAAGTGGTAAGAAAGGAAATTATGTGACTAACTGATGTTAAAATCTCACTGGACTTTGTGAAGAATGGAAAGGAAGGATTTGAAGGAAGGCAGAGAGCGAGTTAGGAAGCAAGTCCAGTTGTCCAGGCAAGAGATGATGGGAGCAACAGTGGAGAAATAATCTACCGAATCCTAAA